TTGATCCCTATGAAGAATAAGGTAATTGTGAAGATTGCTGATGGAACTACTTCAGCAATAAAAGGGACTGGACGAGTTAAAATTTCTGATAAGATAGTGCTTAACAATGTGTTATATGTTACGGACTTAAAGTTCAACCTGTTATCAGTTAGTAAACTGAACAATGATACACATTGCTTAACTAAATTCTCTTCTCAATTGTGTGAATTTCAGGATTTGGATTCGGGGAGGATGATTGGCAGTGCTAAGCAAAGTGGTGGACTCTATCTTCTGGAACATTCACCACATTCACCAAACTCCACCAACAAGACAACTTCCAGTGAGAGTCAATTCAACCATAAGTTCTTAGGGAGTCTTAGTAGGAGTCAGTTTTATACTCAGATTCAGTTATGGCATTATTGTCTTGGTCATCCTAATGTCTTGCACTTAGAAAAAATATTTCCTTCATTATTCATAAATAAAAGTTCTGCCTTTGATTGTGAATTTTGTCAACTTGCTAAACATACTAGAAGTTTAGGTAAAAAAAACTACAACAAATATTATGCCGTGGCTGATAAGAATGAGAAGCTTCATATACACATGCCATTTTAAGCTTAGGTAAAAAAAATCTACAACAAACATTCTTTTTAGTTATATACAACATTCTAAAATGTTGTATTGATTCCAGAAACTAAAGCAGTCTAATTGAGGATGCTTTTGTTCACCTTAATTGTCTTTGTTGGGTTGAGGACCTTTAATTGTCTTCCTAGGAATAATAAGTAATAGATGTTCATATTGGCATGACTTAATAAAATCACCACAATAGTTCACCTAGAATAGAAGTAATAGATAATTGTTTAACCTTCTTATGATGATACCTTTTATCTTATGATTAAAAATTGCCAACAAATAATGTTAATGTCTTTAGTTTTCTATTCAGGTAGACAGGTACATTCAACGAGAATGGTGAAAGGGCTGTTAAAAATGGGTAAATCATTGGCAATACCATAGAAGGTGAACCACCATCTTTCTCTCTTCATTTCTGGACTACATTACACATTAGTTGGTTATAAGTAAGGTCACATATAGATCGGACTTTGAAGATGATGAAGACCTGAATAAGCTGGCAAGCTCCCACCATAATAATAATAATAATAATAATGTTAAGTACTTTAATACGGTGTATAACAAAGAAGAGGAAAATAATTAAAGTTGGTCGTTCAACAATAAATTCCTTTTGAACTAATTTCGGCTATATCTCTCTCTAGGGTGGGTTTCCACCGTTACGGTTCTTTATTTTTTTGTTGGTTACTTTTATTGTAGTAAGACTTTTGCATTATGATGTGCAAGTGATATTTTGATATTATATTCTTTTCCCCTTTTTGTTACTTTTGTAGGCTAATCGTGAATTTGCAACCCCTCGATTTCATACACAACTTCTTTCTTTTTAATCGAATAAGAATATCTAGAAAAGGATTAGCTATAAATTTCATTATTGGCGTTGATATGCACCAATGATGTTTTGATGTTGTTTTCCAAATCCACTCATTTATGCTACTGTGTGCTTATATTATTATGTTATACCAGAGTGTAGGGAGATCCAATGCGTGTTAGTACCAGATGGGATAAATGAGAAACCTTATCCATCTATTGTCAAGGAAATGATATTTTGTACAACTTATTATCTATATTTATATATTTACCATCTTACTTGCATCTAAGTTTTATTTATGGTTATATTTGTCTCAGCTGGAGTGTTGAGTATTCTAACTCCTTTTTCTTAAGCTTTGTTAATCATCCATGGCTTTAGTATTAAGGACATTTTAGATATGGAAAAATCAACTTTTTGGATCTTGGTTCCATGTTAGTGTTCCTCAAGCTTTGTTAATATTGCAAATTCAAAAACCAGTTGAGATATTTAAATTTTAAAGTCTTTTTGAATCCCTGTTCCATGGTGAGTTGGGGTGTTTTTTGAGCATTTGTTAGGGTATACTTACCGAGAAGGTGAATACTGACATATAAGAACACTATAATTAAGTTTTCCACTTTCTTTCCTTGTATTCCATTTCAATATTGTAGTTAATTTTGTCTTGAAATAGATATTGTATTTTCCAATATTTTCATAGCCATGCAACATATAAAGAAAGGTAGTCCTGAAGAAGTCATTTTTTTATGAAAGGATTTGGGGTAAAGCATTATGGTCTAAATTTTGTAGATTCTAGCTTTGGCTCAAAAACTCAAGAAGTTCTTGGACAATTTAGAGGAAAGAACTTTCATCCGACAGAAGACATTTTTAAACAGGGTTAGTTACAAGGGAGGTCAACTCGATCATCAATCCCGTGATTAGAGTCAACATTTTTGTACATTTTAAAAGGAGATGAAACTTTCTACATTAAATGTCTCTTCGTGTACGCATTTAAATTATTGTTAGTATTATAGTTTACAATTTTCTTCATATGTGTTGCAGTGTGTTTATGCTCTAAGTTATATTTAGTTGTCTAAGCATTACGTGGACATGTTAATTGACTTTTCCAAATCACCATTTCTTATTTATCTTCTATGCAATCGTTAATTCGTTATGAGAGCAAAATATATGGCATATGTGTCTTTTGTTTATATATAGCTATACAGGTGTGAAGTTGTAATACCATTTTCTTAGATGTATCGTGTTGATCCTTTTCCGTTTAAATTAATTTTGGTTATTTTGTGTTGGAATTCTGGAATAGTACAAGAGCCAAATGCCATAACATATTGAAATTGATTGAACCACTATATTTTTAAATGTCCACCATTAGCTTTTGTATTTTTGACGATGTACATACATTTTGAGCCCGTTTGATATCACTAAAATCGGCTGAATCAATTGATTCTGCTGAAAATTAGGAATCTCTGGCTGAAGTGACTGTATTTGTTGATTTTGTTGATTAATGAACGAATTATATTTAAAATATATTTTGTTAATAAAACAAAGAATTTTTTTACGAAAATAGCTAAAATGATCATCTACCATTACTTCAGCAAATACAACCAGAAAAGTAACTTCAACCTCAATTTTTTTTGTTATTATACAATTTAGCGTGCGAAATCAAAAGTTAGGTGTTTGATTAAAACAAGGTCACCAAATGGGCTCTTTATCTTTTCAAATAAGGTTTTTAGCAATTAAAGTTTGTTAACAAGATGGTTGATAGATTGTAAGCCTATTTGGGTTGTGACAGATCTTGATTGATTCATGTCATTTTTTAGTCCATAACCTTCTTCATGCGATTGTGGTGGATTCTGAACGATTCATGTCACGTTTAGTCCTTAAGCTTCTCAATGATGGATGGGTATTTTCGTTTAAGGGCAATTTATGGTGTAGTTTTATACTATATTTGTATATCCTGAGCACCAGAATTGACCCGGTCTCATTTTGAAGGAATCAGAAGTTGAGAAATGTCATGGTTGGACTGATTTTAGAATTGAGTTTATCCATATTAAACAAGATCACACCAGACCGGACTCGATAGTTCTAAAATACACCTATAATATACATATATTATATCAGACCATATCAATTTAGATAAAATCTGATCACATCAGATTTAAACATATTAGACCAAACAACATCATAAAATTACACTCCAATTGAAAACAACCTATCCATACTTACTTTAACACCATGCGACGTTAGACCTTCATCACTTTTCAGCGCATATAGTTTCTATTGCTATCTTCGCCCCTACGATTGAGACATGAGGGTGATGTGACTTCTTAGGAAAGTGAAATTGTATGTTCGATATTGAATTGATGAAGTGTGAATAAAGTAAGAATAAATTGTAATCACCGAAATATCACCAAAAATGGTAGGGGATAAATTTAATGGGTAGATGAAAAAAGTAAAACGAGACAAAGTTAGGGGGGCGAAGGGAGTAGGGTTAGATATGCAATGATCATTGATAAGAGGAAGGAATAATTGTTTAAATAAGTTGACATGTTAGTGTTCCTCAAGCTTTGTTAATATTGCAAATTCAAAAACCAGTTGAGATATTTAAACTTTAAAGTCTTCTTGAATCCCTGCTCCATGGTGAGTTGGGGTGTTTTTTGGGCATTTGTTAGGGTATACTTACCGCGAAGCTGAATACTGACATATAAGAACACTATAATTAAGTTTTCCACTTTCTTTCCTTTTATTCCATTTCAATATTGTAGTTAATGTGAAATAATGGTATTTGAAGGTTCTATTCTTTTTCGTAGATAATCATTTCAATAAAGAAATCAATCTTGAATCTTAGGCTTTTCCATTTAGTTCAAGGTAATTTATGATTGTCTTGAAATAGATATTGTATTTTCCAATTTTTTCATAGCCATGCTACATATAAAGAAAGGTAGTCTTGAAGAAGTCATTTTTTATGAAAGGATTTGGGGTAAAGCATTATGGTCTAAATTTTGCAGATTCTAGCTCTGGCCCTAAAACTCTAAGAAGTTGTGGGACAGTTTTGAGGAAGGAACTTTCATCCAGCGAATACATTTTTAAACAGGGTTAGTTACAAGGGAGGGCAACTCGATCATCAATCCCGTGATTAGAGTCAACATTTGAATATTATAATAATTTATAGGTAATTTTCTTGATAGTTTTATGGACTTACGTGCACAACTACTTCATTGCATGATGTTTTAATTTTGACATGTACCATTTATTTTTAAGTTTACTATTACAATGACATCTAATTTAAAATTTTATTTAATGCTTTCGGTTAGTTGGATCATTATTAATTTTTTAAAATTTTTGTAAAATTGAATCTGAACTATTATGTATGTACTTCACTCTTGTGCAACGCACAAGTGGGGTAACTAGTTTTCGTAATGATAAGAGGGTTTATTTGACACTTTTTCCAAAAGTAAATGTATTTTTTGACATTTTTTTGTAGATAACTTATGTGATATTTTAGTATAATACATACCCTTATTCCGCTCTTTTTCCATTTCCAAATCAAATACCATTTGGTATTGTATTTCAAGATTCTATTTTCAAAAACATATATTAAAAAATACTCGTTTAGTTTAACATCTAGGCATTCTCCCCCGCCCCATTCTTCACAACCGAAAGATTTGAAGACCAGAAATTAAAGACGCACGAAAAGTACTAGAGATGGGGAATGAGAGTGTGTGAGCTCCCAGTCACTCGTCTTCTCTGATTCCCAATATTCAGTTTTTTCTGGGCTCAGGGAGTCAGGAATGATGTCTGACGAGAAGAGCAGCAGTGACGGCTTCTACAGATGGAGTTGGGATGTAGCGGGATTCGAACCAAGGTTGTCACCAGCGGAGAACGACGATCACCATAGCTTGACGCCGCCTACCCCGCTGGTCCGGAGGTACTCGATCTCACCCTCATCCATCTCTTCGTATTCGGAATTATCTAAGCACGCCAAGAGCTCCGGACTTCTCAGATTGAAGAACAAAATCAAGGTTACCATTTCTCTTTCCTTTCACCTATGTGACTATGTCCCTGCCAGTTCAAGTACTATATCAGGGAGTTCGTTTATTGATGAAGCAGAAGTGTGAAATCTATACTGTCTTTTGGTTTCGCCCTGTTAACTTATTACTCATGTACACAGAGAAGTTGTATTCTGGTGTAGATATTAGAAATGAGCGGTGATATTTTTAGCCAGGATAAGTTGATGCTTATGAGGTAAGTTGATTTAGGCTTTTGAGGCCGCTAAGGTTTCCCATGAGGCCATGAGATATAAACTTTTGAGATGCTAAGTATATCTTTGAACATTTCTTAAACTTTGTGCATCCTACCATTTGAAATGGCAATATCAGGGGTGGCCCATGTTTTTTCAAGTGGTCTCTTATACGTAGTATTATTATTAGTAATAGTAGCTTCTTATTAGTATTGAAAGTCAATGTTAGTTAATATCTTAGTAGCTGTACTGTAATAGGTTAAGACTACTCAAATACTAGATAAGTAATACGAGTAAGAGTGTTTGATGGAACATAAGAGTCCAAATCACCTAAGAATATAGTAGACAAGTAATACTCAGTACAAGTAAGGTAAGGAAAGACTAAGGGTATGTTTGACACAACTAGCTGAAAAGATACTCATGTGAGCTTTTTGATATCTCTTAGCTCTTAGTTACTGAAAAGATCTCAAAAGGAAAATGTGGTAACTGTTTGGTAAAAACTAAAAAGCTTACTGTTTGATTTAGTTCTGTTTGGTATACAAGCTGCTAGGACTAATTAATGCTAAAAGTCACAAACTTTTCTCATATGCTACTCCCTGTAGCATCTCAAAAAAGATCTTTTATTTTTTGAAAAGCTCTTAAAATTTGTCATGCCAAACATACAACTATAAACTTCTAGAGACTTTTTAAATAGTACAAAAGGTAGAAGACATAGACTTAAGCTTGCCAAACATGCACTAAACTAACTTACAAATAAGAGCGAAACTAGGATACATGTGGAACTGCTTCCTTGCGCCCACAAGTTCTCTGACCTGCCCTAACTATTCACCTGATCCCCGCCTCTTAGGATGATTATAACATTGTTACACAAATGTGTCCATACCATCACCTCCCATTATCCAAGAGCCTCTCTTCGAGGTCAATGATACAAAATGATGTTTGGAAGGATACCAACGTCTCCGATGAAGCTTCACCAACTAACTGCTGTAACCAGTGCACCAAGAACTTGAGTTGGCCCTGATTACAGAGTACAAAGTGCACAGTCTGGAGGGCGGCAACCTGCTTATGCAGAGGTGCAAGGGCTTCCATTGAGTCCACCGGTGGCCTTTGTGTCATTCAAGAAAGGTTACATGATGAACATTATGTATGCAACTCTAAGTGTGCAAGAGTAACTTTTAAGCTCTTTGGCCAATCCGGAGTATTACCTGATTGGCTAATTGGACCATAGTATCCAGCATCAACGTATGATGACATTGAACCAAAGAGAAACATTTGATGACAATAAGGGAGACCGAGAAAATTTAGATTCGACCATATCAAACCAGATGCTACCCCTTATACTTTTTTTATTATTATATATAATTATATATGGCTCACTAAACTGTCTGCGCTTCTTTGTTATGAAGCAGCAGTTAGTCCATGCAATTTTGGACGGGATTTTCACTATGGGTCATCCGGAAACAGTCTCTCGGTGCTTTAGTACAGGGGTAAGACTGCGTACATCCGACCCCCCCTTACCCCACCGTAGGTGGGAGCCTTTTCGGCACTGGGGTAAATGAAAATGATATATAATTATATATTACTATTTTGTTAATAAATTTATTATTCTTTATTATTATCACATACTACCTCCGTCCCATAAAACTTGGCCAACTTTCCTTTTTTGTCCGTCCCAAAAAACTTTGTCATTTCCCTTTAAAGTAACAAACATGTGGCTAAAGTTATTTCTCTCTCCTCTGCACAAATATCATCCACACAATTTTTACTTTATTAATCTACGTGCAAGTCAACATTGGCCAAATTTTATGGGACGGAGGGAGTATCTTCTTGTAAATATCATTTCTAGTAACATCATTGTTTTTAATACTATTTGTAATTATTATTATTATTATTATTATTACTATTTGCTGTAGATGTTACTTTTATATAAGTGATGACTTTTTATTATTACTATTACTTTTAATTATTGATTACTATTATATTAATCATTATAACCTATCATTTTTTATATTTACTTATTATTTATTTATAATTTATTTATTTATTTATTTATTTATTTATTTATTTATTTATTTAATTATTTATTAATTTATTATCTATCGACCGACTGATATTTATTTATTTATTATTTATTTGTTTGTTTGTTTGTTTGTTTGTTTGTTTGGTTTGGGCTGGGCTGTTCTGGGCTGGGCCGGGCCGGGCCGGGCTTGGCTTGGCTTTGCTTTATGGACGGACAAAGTATTATTATTATTGTAATTGTTATTATAATAATAATAGTTATAATAATTATTATAATTATTATCATTATTATAATTATTTACTACTACTACTACTAGTATTATTATTGTTATTGTTATTGTTCTTGTCGTTACACTTTTTATGACACCAATTAGTTACAATAACAACAACAAATAACAACTAAAACAACAATCATCATACAATTAATTTCAACATAAATCAGATCAGTATTATGTAGACCAACACCAATCAGTTAGACCAAATCAGAAAGATTCTGATCGGATTAAGGTTCAAATATGACTAGAACAATTCAAAACAAACCAACAAGATTCAGACTGGTTAAAAATATATAAAATCAGATAAAAAAGATTCAGTTTAGATGAGACCAAATAAGAAAAATTCATGATCAAGTGGGAGTGATTCAGATAAGATCAACCCCAGAACTTATTTTTTTAGATTAGAAACATTCAAAATTTCAAATCAGATGAAGAGAACAACTTCTTGGGGTGTGACACTATGTACAATAATGAAAATTACTTGTATTGATATACAACTCACGACTTTATAGTTTCTGAAGATTATTTAAATGCTTTTATGGAGAAGTACTGAACCTAAGCACAGTCAGAATTGGATAATGAGAATAGGCAACTCATGACATTAACTCACTTTGCCTGAGATGGCGAACTCGAATTCTATAACTGAATGTTGGGTTAAAAATAATATTGTAAAGTCAAACACAAACGAAGAACATTGTCTGAAAAGGACATGTAGATATTGACTTAAGTTGTGACATGATCGGCTAAGCATTTTCATTTTGGATTTTTTTATACTTTCCTCTCCACATTTATTGTCAGTGTATAGCAGTAATGTGATTCATTTTGACGTAAAAAACTTATTTTTAACAAGAAAATGCAAGGAAAGCTGATTCCTTTGTTTATACTTAGAGGTGGAATGGTTAATCTTCTTCTTGCTCATTCATTTAGTAATTTACCCACCATGCAGTGTCAAATTAGTAAAGTTTTACTTCTAACGATATCAGAAATATCATTGGCAGCTTGTTAGGGAGGACTATGCCGAGTTGCGACAAGAGGCCAGTGACCTACAGGAATATTGCAATGCAAAACTTGACCGCGTCACACGCTATCTTGGTGTACTTGCTGATAAGACACGTAGATTAGGTAATAAAATGTACTTGTGTAGTAGGTATAATCTCAATGGCTAGATTATATGTAACTATCTTATACTCCCTGTTTTTATGTAACAAATAGTATGTGTTATCGCAGTTCTTTCATGGTTTTTTTCTAGGACTTTATTAACTTCTCATTCTTCAATATTTTATTTATTACTCCCCACGTCCCTATATAAAAGTCCTGGTTTGAATTGCTGCATATTAAGGAAATAATTTTTTTCCTTTGACTTCGTGAAATGTTCCTTTTACTGATGAGTAAAATATTTTACCGTAGAGTACACTGTTTTGACACTGCATATAACACTATTTTGCACTGTGTTGTCTTTATTATTTAAGGGTAATAAAGTAAGTTGATATAAATTTATTTACCAAATAGGGAAACGATACTTTATATAGGGATATCCATAAAAGGAAAGTTAGTAGTTTATTTAGGGACAGAGGGAGTATTCGTATTAATATTGTTGTTGTTATTGTTGTTACTGTGACCACTACTATTACTATTACTACCTTCGTCGCACTAACATTGGGACATGAGGGGGTGACACGGTTATTAAGAAAAGAGGGCTTATGGGGTTGATATTGAATTGATAAAGTAAGAATAAAGTAAAAATGATTTAGAGCAACACAAATTTTACCAAATCTGGTATGGGACATTCTTAGTGGGACGGATTGAATAGGAAAAATGGGTCAATCTTAGCGGGACGGAGGGAGTATTATCTTTTCTTATGTAATTTATTTTTCTTTTATTTTCCTTTTATTTATGGAGAACTTCATAGAAACGATACTACATACATAATTCATATGTGACATCTCACCTATTAATCCATTTATCCATTATTACACTCAAAAGCAGTAGTTGAATCACTTGAATGAGGGTCTAAAGTTGTTTAAGGAAATATTAGATTTCTTCGAATGATAAGTCGAGAAACAGTAAGAAGATACATCTTAGTGCAAATTAAATGTTTACTTACCAGTTCTACTACCCTATATAGGATAATAATGTAAGTTGCTTTTAAGCAGTTAAGCTTGAGCTTGTTGCTTTGTTTTATGTTCATATTCTTATTTGTTTTGCTTTATTTTCTATATGCAATCTTTGAATTGGTTGTTTTACACTCAGAGAGTATGTATGTTTATTTTCTATTTTTATGTTTTTTTCAGACATTTAAAACATAATCTTTGACTTGTTATCAGATCAAGCAGCTCTTGATACAGAAACTAGAATTTCTCCTTTGATATCTGAGAAGAAAGGATTATTTAACAAGTTATTGACTGCCAAAGGTATACAGAGTTTTGTTATCATCACTTGCCTTATACAAGTATGCTTGATAAAGGCTCTCAATGAACTCTCCCAAAAGAAATCGTCTTTCATTTTCATGACAAATATATTGTCATTCAGACCATTTCAAAGACATACAGTGATGTAAATGTATTTATGATGCGCACATGATGGGATTTCTTTGACTCAGGAAATGTACAAGTATTTTGCCGTGTACGGCCACTTTTTGAAGACGAAGGCTCATCTGTTGTTGAATTTCCCGACAGTTTTACTGTTCGTGTCAATACTGGTGATGATAGTTCATCTAATCCTAAGAAGGATTTTGAGTTCGATAGAGTTTATGGTCCTCATGTTGGACAAGGTATTTTTTTTGTAAAAAGCCATTTGCTTAGTTCTTGTATAACATGAGATTTTGCTAACTCATTTTATTTGGTGCAGTTGACCTTTTTAATGATATTCAGCCTTTTGTTCAGTCAGCTTTTGATGGATTTAATGTTTGTATATTTGCTTATGGCCAAACACACTCAGGAAAGACACACACCATGGTCTCTCTCTCTCTCTATCCCCCCCTAGTGTTTTTTGCTCTATGCAGATACTATTAGTAAAGAATTGATTGTGTCGTAGGTCAGTACATATTACACCTTTAAATTTATAATTGTTATAATTGTTATATCTTATAAGTATGCTTGTATTTTCCAATAAGTGTAATCTGCAATGCTACATGTCGTTTTTCGCAACTCTATATTGAGTTTGACAATCAACTCCATGCTAAACGGCATTGAGTTTCACCGACTATCCTGAATTTCTGTAAGTGACTAGCAATTTGATTGTCGTCATAGTTGTGACAAGTGATAAGTACCAAACGTTCCTGCAGGAAGGGTCTAGTCATGATCGTGGGTTATATGCTAGATGCTTTGAAGAGCTGTTCGATTTATCCAATTCAGATGCAACTTCCACATCTAATTTTAGTTTCTCAGTTTCACTCTTTGAGCTTTATAATGAACAGGTCACAGCTTCCAAGATCTTGTAGTATGCTGCCATTTCACTATTGATTATTTCTTCATTTGGTACTCTTGATTCTTCTTGCGAGTTAAGACTAGACAATCTCTTATTACAGATAAGAGATTTGCTTTTGGAATCTGGTAGGGATCGTCCAAAAATTGGCATCAGGTTACCAGATTGTGTTGTGGAACTTGTACAGGAAAAGGTGGAGAACCCATTAGATTTTTCAAAAATCCTCAAAGTAGGATTTCAGAACCGAGGAAGCAATACATCAAAGTTCAACGCCACTCATCTGTATGATCAATGTTTTTTCAAAGACAATTATTGCATTTAATTGTTTTTTCGGTTGGTCTATTTTGGGATTTTTGTATACTAGCACATGCAAACTTTTTTAAAGCGAAAAGCGTCCAAAAGCGATGACCTTGTGCTTTGCTTAAAAGCGAAAACGCTAAGCGAAGCGTAGCTTTCTCACAAAAAGCAATGCTTATAAAAAATAGAAAATTAACATGTATAATGTATACTTAAGCCAAAAATGCGTAAGTAGTCATAAAAGTCATTAAAAATAATACTAGTGCGGCATAAAGTGAGAAAACATTCATCACACAATTATGCAAAAAATGCATAACTAATGATAAAAGTCATAAGAGTACTAGTGCGGCATAAAACAAAAACATCCATCACACAATGCCATAGTTTCATTAAAAACGGTTCTAATACAACGATTGGTTTATATAAAAATATACTCCCTCCGTCCCATTTAAACGTTTCCACGCGGTTTATGACGTTTGACTGACCATAAATTTAACTGATCCCCATCATTAGTAGAATTATTTTTAGTAAATAAAATTTACATATTCAGAAACTACATTAAAACCGCTATAAAGCCTGATCAAGAAAATTTAAATTTGATAAAAGTTGGATCATTCATTCATTTTCATTTACCCCAGTGCCGCAAAGGCTCCCACCTACGGTGGGGTAAGGGGGGTCGGATGTACGCAGTCTTACCCCTGTACTAAAGCACATAGAGATTGTTTCCGGATGACCCATAGTGAAAATCCCGTCCAAAATTGCATGGACTGACTGCTGCTTCATGACAAAGAAGCGCAAACAGTTTAGTGAGCCATTTTGCTTTATTCCATCATAATCTCAAGCCAAAAAATAATGAATCTTTGGCTCCATTGCAAATGATGGAAAATTTGATAAAAGTTGGATATATAAAGTAAAAGATTAAGAACAATGCACGTTGACCGGAGAATAGTAGACGAGAACCTTTAAATGGGACGGAGGGAGTATAATAATACCTTAATACACTGTACATTTTACTTAAGAAAAGTCACACATAAGACTAAAGTTAAGCTTTAATTATGGAACATAAAGCATAGACCCTGAATCCCCAATTCCTCATTCAGTAAAATAATATTCATAAGCATTAAACATATATCAAAATTCACATGTATATTACGGTCCATCTTCTTCAAGTGAAATAAGCAATAAAGGAAGGAACTTCATTTAGTTGAATACAATAATTAATCCGATAACTAGTTCTCTGTAATAAGGCTGAAAGGTTTCAAACTAAAAAAGCATGAGTAAAAGTGAGCTGAAGAGTGACGAACGATGTTCAGTCTCAGGAGAGAGCAAACTATGGATGAAAGAGAACCTGCTGCTCATCGGCGAGGCGGCGATTTCTAGCTGAACGGAAGTCTGGACGAACTCCCAATGATTTCTTCACCTGCGGCTTCTTCACCTGCGGCTTCGACTGGAGTGTGGAAAGAGTCGAATGACTCTAAACCTAATAACCCTAAGTCCCTAACCTCTAGCGACAAGCCGACAACACTAAAACAAAAAAAAAGACCAGTCAAATGACTGCCTTTGTGAGAAGCTTTGAAAAGCGATTGCTTAAGCGAAAGGCGAGCTCACGAAAACCGCCGGAAAAGCTAGATTTTCTCATGGAGAGACGCTTCTCAAAAGCCAGGCGTAGGTCGAGCTCTTGCGTGCGCTTTGTCGCTTAATGACGCTGACCACTTTTAACAAGTTTGAGCACATGTTTCTAGATAGGAGGTTACATGTGCAATCTCCAGCTACCTCATATTTGCTCAAAATATATTTGTGATTCTACTTGCTCTTGAAATGCATGATGTATATCGTTATAGTGGTTGTTGGAATCATGTGGTTGTGGTCTGACACAATGAAGTAACCACCCATTGTCAAGGCATAAACTATGAGAGACTAGAGCAAGATTTGTATATCAAATTCCAAAAATATTACTACTCTCTCCGTCCCTCTATATTTGTTTCATTTTACCTTTTTCATCCGTCCCACTAAGTTATTCGCATGCCATATTTGATAATATTTGGGTGGCTGCAATTCATTCCTACTTTATTCACACTTTACCACTTCAATACCAACCACACAATTCCACTTTTCTCATTAACCGCACCACTCCCACTTGCTCAATTTTAGGGGATGAAGGTAGTATGTATAATATTCATTGAATGTATTGCACTTAGAGAAAACACTAGCAGATGCACGATATATGGTCTTGGTTTTCAGAGATCTCAAAGATTTGTTAGCTATAAAGTGATAAAGCAACTGATCAATACCAACCACACAATTCCACTTGTCTTATTTACCGCACCACTCTCTCTTGCCCCAATCTAAGTGCATTACATCATGTAATGCACTTAGACAAAACAACAACAGATGCAGAATAGATGGTCTTGGCTTTAAGAAATCTCAAAGATTTGTTAGCTATAAAGTGATAAAGCAACTGATTAATTTCCATGATTCATGACTCGATCTTAAACAACTCTTAAAAGCTTTATTTAGATTTTAAGGAAGTTATATTCTACTGTCGTGTTGGCTATTACACATTGCTTTTTGACTTGCTTGTTGCGCTTAATGCATTACTATTGCCTACGTTTCTTTGGAAATATTATGGCTCGAGTATTACCAAATGCTGGTGCATGCTTTTGCATCACTTGACATTTTGTGCTTAGTTTGAATCTTCAATGGTAACTTCTGTTATTGTTTTCTGTTTTTCTCAATCTTAATGTTTTTTTCGGTGGGAATCATTTTCAGGATAATCTGCATACATATATATTATGAGAACTTGATCACTGGTGAGAATTTTTGCAGCAAACTCTCTCTCATAGACTTGGCTGGAAGTGAGAGTGCAACTATAGAAGACGATACTGGGCTTCATGCAACCGAAGTGCTGTATGTAATGAAATCTCTATCAGCGTAAGTACTAAATAGTGCATGTGAGCTTATACACTTATACTTATACCAGCATACAGAGTTTATGATCCCTATGTATAAGTCCAAGGTATTGCTATATATACCCATATTGGATTCCAACGCAATACTATCTGTAATATATCTGATCCCTTTTAGTGAGATAATTTTGGCTGAATGGGCTAAATTTAATGAGATTGTGGTTGAATGAGTTGATTGGGCTGAACTTTCTCAGCTGTGTTGCATGGCTGAACATGCTCAGATGTACTGCAGTGCCAAACAGGCAAACAGTTACTCTAACGAACAAGAGAGGGAAAAGGCTTTGAAAATGTTTTTGCACACTTCACTGATTTACAAGAGCTGCTATTTATACTATTACTAAGGATGTCTATAAGCTACGTAATAATACTATCTTAAATGATAAAGATATGTAATGGTTTGCAACAGTCAATTACAATATTGTGTCTTAAATATTTTTTTTCTATTTCCTTCAATAACTCCCACTGTTCCTATTTATTTGTCCATTTCAGAACATGCCTATTAAGAATTTTTGGTAGAGTTAATTCAGTCACAAGTCACAATTGATGTCTTCTTACCAAAGTTACCCTCATGTTTGAACTCACCAACATTTTATATTACATGTTTATAATGTGTTCAATATTTAATTTTGAAGGGTAAACTGGAATTTTATTTAATGTTCCACGGGTTTTTAAATGGCCAAAAACTCTAAAAATTGTTACTTAATTAGGAAAAAAATGGAGTAACTCTCTAAAGCACTTCCCACCGCAATTTTCCAAAGAGCTTTTCCAACAAGAAGCTTTTTTTTTAACCGCAGCCTCAATCCCAAACAAGGCGTCATTGCTATGAGCTCTTTTTCAATGATTCTAAAACTATCAAGTCAATGTGAAAAATATATTACTCCCTCCGTCCCAGCTTAAGGTCCCCACTATGCTTTTTTGGATGTCCCAGCTAAAGGTTCCCATTTCTATTTTAGGAAATAATTAACACTCTTAAATGGCAATTTCATCATCAAAATTTTTAAAAAAATGCATCTATAACATCACATTTGTCATCAACGACCCCATTATATTATATACCCATCAAAACTATTTCTCAAAATATACTCGAATTACCTTATTTAATTATTTTCTAAATACTGCTAGTAACAAGACTCAAACGCTACACGTCATCACATCCGGAGGCAAAGGTGTACCCTCCCCATCTCCAACGGACTATACAGTTTCACAATAAATACAACTAATCGCTCTTAACAATTGTGAGGGTGCCAGCAAAAAATTGTTGACTCTTTCTTTCATGCTTTGTCTTGTACATTTTTTAATGGGAAAGCTATCAAATAAGCCCTCGTACTATACCGAAAAAGTCGATTAGGCCCTCGTACTTTACAAACACTCAATTAAGTCCTCGAACTATTAAAAAACGTTCAATTAAGCCCTTTCGGTCGGTAAGTAACCGGTTTCCCGGTTAAATGTAACATGTTTCCCGGAAGCCGCCGTTGCTGGGGTTCAAGCACATCGTCACCATCGTCGTCGTTTAACCGGGAAATCGGTTATTTACCCACCAAAAGGGCTTAATTGAACGTTTTTTAATAGTTCGAGGACTTAATTGAGTGTTTGTAAAGTACGAGGGCCTAATCGACTTTTTCCGTATAGTACGGGGGCTTATTTGATAGTTTTCCCTTTTTTAATTGAACTTTGGTTTTGTATTTTAAGTTTTTAATAAATTTAGAAAGGGTTCCCCGGCGCTTTCCCCACTGCTAGTGGCTTCACTGTGATTTAAAAAAAATATTTTCTAAATACTGCAATGGGAACCTTAAGCCAAGATGGAGGTAGTAGTATTTAACACATGATATTTAGTGGAGAACAATCATTACATTGATTCACAAATCATACCAGCTTGTCACAGGAAACTCATCCGTGACAAGCTGCTGTATTCTTGTTTAATTTATTGCTTTGATATTGTACATGCAGATTAGGGGATGTTTTAAATTCCTTGACCTCAAAGAAGGACAATGTTCCATATGGAAACTCAATGCTTACTAAGTTATTTTCAGACTCATTAGGTATGTAACTGATTCATTCTCTGGCAGGCGAAGAGTGAGACTTAGTGTGATACAATGCCTTTTTTTTTATCCCAACCGTCATTCATGAGTATAAGCACACATAAGTTGCATACTGACCATAAACTAGTTGGCATGTATAGAATAGTCTAGACAAAGAAAAGTCTAGACAACAGTTACACAATTAATTAGAATTATCAGTTACAAAATATTTGTATTTAATATTATAATTAGTAACCTATCTTATTAATCCCTAGAATATTGTATAAATAGCAATTCGTTTCATGGAATAAATCAAGTCTTTCAGTCTCAATTCCTTCTTATTCTAAATTCCTTTAGTATGCATTGGGTTAGTTATTAACTCTGATGCCTGTGGACACCTTTCTCAAAACCCAACCGTCTTTCATTAATAGATTCACAGATATTTGCTTTCATTGAAATTGCATATTGTGCATAATTTTTCTCTCATAATATGTTAAGGCACACATGCAAGACCTTGTCCAAGAACGACAGAAGAGTGACAGGGATTTTGAGTAGAGGGAAACGGGAAGATTTGGATCTATCTTGTACTTATTAACTGGGAGAGAGAAATAATTATAAAGGCTTAATAGAATTAATCTGATTATAACCTAGTGAAGATATCCCTATGGTGCTTTAAAAGCTACTTTTTAATTTAAATAAGAACCCCTTATATTGATATTACAGAATTCTTAAACTGAAAGGGAAAGATATAATTGTATTATGACTCTAGTAAGGGAAGATAAATGAAACTAGAATTAGTTAATACTAATAATAATATGTAAGGAAGTCTCAGACTGCTTGCTTTGGATGCAAGTCAGTCATTTGGATGCAAGTCAGTCATTTGGATGCAAGTCAATTCTGTAGATTTGGTTTCTTCCTCAACCACTTGGGCATCAGATCCATCTTTCCTCATCATTTGGCTTCTTTGTTGATACTTACAACCATGTTAACATCATATTTCAATATCCATTCACCACATTTTTGACATATGTAATACCTCAGATGCACTATCCAAATTACTTTTTGATCAAACTTATACACACTGGTCAAATTCATAGATACTGTGGATTTTTAAAAGTCTCCTATGACTTGGGTGCCTTGTCGTACTTATTTGAAAGGCAGTTACTTATTTCCATGAATTACTTATTGCCTTGTCACCTTCTTCTGTTTAAAAAGTGCCCATTAATAGCTTATCACTGTAAATGGCTTAATGCAGGCGGAGATTCAAAGACAGTATTGGTTGTCAATCTCTGTCCAAATGCTTTAAATTTGTCTGAGACATTATCATCCCTCAATTTTTCTGCAAGAGCTAGGAGTGCTGTATTAAGTCTTGGAAACTGGGATACCATCAAGAAATGGAGAGAGATCGTAAGTTATTTTAAATGTTTAAATGTCCTCTCTTTTGATTGGTAGGCTGAAATTCGTTGGGATTGACCCTCTATTTAGTTAAAGTTATTCTACACATCTCTCCATTTTCTACATCATCTTCCTTGCTACTTGGTGTGGTAGGTTGATACTGTGATTACTGTCTCTCTGGGAGGCTGATTTTCCTTTGTTCTCTTTTTCTTTTGGCTTTATCACCCAATCAAATATAGGGAGTTTAAAAAGGCAGCCTGAAGTGTAAAAGGTCTTGGCATTTCCCATTTAGAGTTTAACTGATTCAATCTGAATTGTTTGCTCAAGCTTTAATTCTTCTGTGTCCATGTTGAAGTTTTATGAATTACTGAATTATATTTGTTGTTTTAAACTTTAGGCAAATGATGCTCGCAAGGAACTCTATGAGAAGGAGAAAATAATATGTGATCTGAAAAAGGAAATTATTGGACTAACACAGGATCTGAAACGTGCCAACGATCAGTGTGTCCTACTATTCAATGAAGTTCAGAGTGCTTGGAAAGTTTCTTATACTCTCCAGTCAGATTTAAAGGTTTTTTTTTCTTGCAGCATTTTCCCTTCCACTGTTAAACGGAAGCTTAGATGCTCATATGTGATTATGTTCCTTTTGACTTAAATATCCTGTGTCTGTTAAACATGAAAAACAGGACCATGTTTACATAAAATTTCCATGTCATATTCTTGCCTTCTTAGAATGGGAGCCTTGGTGCACCGGTCATGATATTTAAGTTTTACGAGTGGCCTCTTGTCAAAATGACACGGGAATGTTTGCTCCTTATACACCCTTGTGCGGGACCCTTCTCGGACCCGTGTTTTGCGGGGACTCCCATTTGCACCGGGCTGTCCTTTATTCTTGCTTTCTTAGAAATAGATAAAACGAGCACTGAATGGCAGAGCATATCGCAAGTGTGAAATTTATTAGAATAAATGTAGGATTATGCTTTAGATTATTTTAGGAATATACTCTAGGATATTATTATGGTATAAAATCTTGTACGAATATTCTATCGTTCTAATGTATATTTATAGAGACTTAAACCCCTCAATAAAGACAGAGAAAATCCTTTCCTCTTCAAGATTATTCTAATTTATACTTTCTTTTTTAATATGGTATTAGAGCATCTTAGAACATCAGCCCGAAAATTTTAGCGTCTCTGTACGCATATTATCATTTTTTCCTGCTTCCCAGAACTTCCGATTTCAGAAGCAACCTTGGTATCTGGATATCCCTTATCTCACCTCCAATTATAGAAGGAGTGCCTTCCACTAGTGTCGAGACCACTGTAGTCCACGGCAGATCGAAGCGTGTGATGCACATGCGCTGTCAAAAGCTTTGTCGCTGCCGGAATTTTTGTAGGATATACCACCCACTGACTTGCCTTTATCCTCCGGTGTTATTCATCTCCAGGTTTTCTTGCTTTTGAATTTCATTTCCTTTTCATCCACCTGGAACTGACCACGTGTTTAAGAGTCCTGGTGCGGTGAACGTGGACAAAGCTTTGTACGTTTGCCTGGAGTACATCAGTACATGTCAGGGTTAGGATCTCTAGCGCTCACACACTCAAATCTGGAAAAATAGAAAGAAAAATGAGAAGAACGACTCAAGAATTTAACATGGTTCAGCCACTAAATGTTACTAACTTAATCCACAGGGGCAACTAGGGTTTTCTTTCTTACTGAGGTGATGATAAAATACAGTCATTTGTTTACAAGTACAGGAGCAATATATAGGCAAGCAATTAGGGTAAACTCTTAATTAACCTCTGGGCTCGACTGCCACGAAAGAAAAGGCCTAGCTAGGGCCGGCTGCACGTCTAGCTAGGGCCGGATGCAGCTCCTTGTTTATCTGGCTGAAGCCTACACCCCAACAATCTCCCACTTGGAGGCTTCGAAACATGATCAGCTGCACTCCACTCCACACTCCTCTGTATACTTCTGTTCTCTAGCTCCTCCTAGTTGCCACCTGCCTTCTTAACATTATTCCTGAAGGCCAGTTGAAGCCATGCAAAGCTTCAACTTCTCAGTTATCACCACCTTAGTAAACATATCAGCGGGATTCGTTATACCAAGAATATTCGTCAGTAGCAACTCTCCATCATTTATCAACTCGCTGATAAAATGATACTTCATCATGATGTGCTTAGTTGTATTTCAAAACACCGGATTCTTTGCGAGATGAATTGCACTATGGCTGTCACAATACAAAACACTATCTTTCTGTTCAAAACCCACAAAAACGAGAAGAACGCACAAGAATTTAACGTGGTTCAGCCAATAAATGTGACTGACCTAATCCATGGGGCCAACTAGGGTTTTCTTTCTTATTGAGGTGATGATAAAAATACAGTCAGTTGTTTACAAGTACAGGAGTCAACATATAGGCAAACAATTAGTGTAAACTCTTAATTAAACTCTGGGCTTGACTCCCACGAAAGAAAAGGCCCAGCTAGGGCCGGCTGCACATCTAGCTAGGGCCGGCTGCCGCTCCTTGTTTATTTGGCTGAAGCCTACACCCCAACAGTACATAAGCCGTCAACAGCCCCAAACCTGTGATCTTCTTTACTATCAACTGCCCAGAGTACATAAGTAGTTATCTCTTTATTATACCAGTGATTTTGGTGATTTTGAGTAATATGCCACTGTTGTAAAAAGTCCGGACACTTGATCAATTATTGTATAAGTTTGGCGTTCAAAAACCAAGGAATTTGAATGTTGCTTCCGCTACTAATTCGTCCGAGAGATCAATTATTCTTTCATTAGATGAGTATGCCAAATTTCTTTGCTACTTAGAATCTCTAAATCAATCCTCTTCTCCTATCTCGGATGTCATTAATTCAGGTAATTCAAAATTTCAAACACATGCCTTGTTTCCTCATCTTCGAAATGGGTCATTGACTCAGGTGCCACATATCACATGAATACATGATCGATAATCTTAGTCTTTTCTCATCATTTCATTCATATTTACCTAACTTATAATGTCATTTTGGCGGACTGGTCTACCTCACCAGTCTTCGGATCAGGTACTGTTGTCCCAACATCTGCATTACCCTTACCGCCGACCTTGAGTCGTCTAAACATTGCATTTAATTTGCTTTCCATTAGTAAAATCACTGGTACCCTTAATTGTTCTGTAACATTTTTCTTGGATATTGTGTGTTCCAGGATATGTTGACGAAACAGATTATTGGTAAAGTACATGAGTCGGTTGGTCTTTATATTTTGGATACATCAATCACAAAAAGTTTTTCTTGTCTTGGGGTTGGAACTTTGTTAGAGGCTCAATACCGACTAGGACACCCATCTCTCACACTAATGAAGCAAATAAATCCCCAGTTTAATAAGCTGTCAATTTACAATGTGAGTCGTGTCAATTTGCGAAACTCCATTGTACTAGTTTAAGTCCTCGAGTTAATAAACAAAAAAATGCTCCCTTTGACCTTGTTCATTCCGATGTTTGGGGTGCTTGTAAGGTTGTGTCCAAATGTGGTTTTAAATATTTCATTACCTTTATTGATGATTATTCTCATATGAATATTTCATGAAACATCGATTTGAGTTGTCCAAACTGTTTGCGCTTCTTTGTTATGAAGCAACAGTCAGTCCACGCAATTGTCGACGTAGTGGGTTCAGATGACATACCAATTGAGGCCTGGAAAAGTTTGGGAGAGAGAGGCATTGAGTGGATAACAAGTTTCTTCAACAAGATATGAAGAAACAACAAAACGCGAACAAATTGGTAATAAGGGTGACGTACAAGAATGTGCCAACTATCGATGGATTAAGCTCATGAGTCACATAAAACTTTGGGAGCGTGTGATTGAGCAAAGACTCCGAAGAAGTGTGAAGATTTCAAAGAATCAATCTGGTTTTATGTCTGGTCGCTCAACAACTGAGGCCATTCACCTTCTTCGGCAACTTGTGGAGAAGTATAGACACACTAAAAACAATCTGCCTTTGATGTTCATTGACTTAGAAAAGGCATATGATAAGGTGTCTCGAGAAGTTCTTTGGTGGGCCTTAACTAAAAAAGGCATATCACGAAAGTATATCAGCATCATCATGGATATGTGAGGAATGTACTACAAGTGTCTGTACTAGTGTAGAGAGGACTGCAAAGTTCGCTATTACTATCAGTGTGCATCAAGGATCGTCTCTAAGCCCTTGCTTATTTTCCATAATCATGGATGAACTAACAAAGTCAATTTAAGATGATATACTCTGGTGCATGATGTTTGCCGATGATAGTGTATTGATTGATGAGATGCAATCAGGTGTTAAAGCAAAGTTGGAAGTATGGCGACAAACATTGGAGAAAAAAGGTTTCAGACTGAGTCGGAGCAAGACAAAGTACATGGAATGCAAGTTTGGTGGAGGTAGAAGCAGTGGTACTAGTGGAGTTACGCTAGATGGTAAGGAGATACCGGTTAACGATATGTCCCGTTACTTGGGCTCCATAATTCAGAAGGACGGTAAATTAGATAGAGACGTATCCCATAGAATCAGATCATGGTGGATGAAATGGAAGAGTGCGTTGGGATTTCTATGCGATCGAGGTATGCTGACTAGTCTGAAGGGTAAATTTTATAGGACAACAATTAGGTCTGCATTACTCTATGAAGTAGAGTGTTGGGTGGTGAAACAATGTCACATTCAAAAGATGTGTTGCAGAGATGCGCATGCTGCGTTGGATGTGTGAACATACTAGAAAGGACCGCATGAGGAATGAGACAATCAAACTAAAGGTTGGAGTAACATTTATTGAAGATAAGATGCGGGAGTCTCGCTTGTGGTGGTTTGATCATGTGTGTAAAAGACCGAGTGATGCACTTGTCAAACGAGTTGGGATGTGTGGAGAAGAGACAAGGAAGAGAGTGAAAGACCGAAACATATGTGGATTAGAGGAGTCAGAAGTGATATGCTTCTTCTTGGGTTGGATGAGAGCAAAGTGGAGGACGGGTATTCGTGTGAAGGAGTGATCTGTGATCATCTTTTCCTCCTCATCTTCTTTTTCTTGCTTGTTTTTTATCTTTTTATCTTTATATATATATATTCTTTTTATCCTTTTTATTATATCATTTTTAAGTATATCCATTGCTTTTTATAGGGAAAAAGTGCAAATAAGCCCTCGAACTAACCGAAAAAGTGCAAATCACCCCTTTTATAGGAGGCTCTGTCCGGCCGTTGCCATTTGGGGAGGTTCCCGGTGGAATTTTTTGATTAATTATTTTTGAGCATCTTTTTCATTAAGTCTAGTTTACCCATACCAAATTTCAGCTAAAAATTCAATCGGGAAGGCAGTCAAATAACTTTCTGAAATATACTGCGTTGTTTAACTGCGCAGTTATCTTCAAACATTTATTTGACTGCCTTTCCGATTGCATTTTTAGCTGAAATTTGGTATGGGTAAACTAGACTTAATGAAGAAGATGCTTCCTATAAAAAACTTCATCAAAAAATTCCACCGGTAACCGCCCCAAATGGAGACGGCCGGACAGAGCTTCCTATAAAAGGGGTGGTTTGCGCTTTGTCGGTTAGTTCAAGTGCTTATTTGCCCCTTTTCCCCTTTTTATATTATCTTTTTTATCATAGCTTATCTTTTTATCTTTATCTTTCTTTTCCTTTTGGTTATGATACCATGTATCGATTCATGTTAGTTGACCCCAAAATCTTTTGGGACTAAGGCTTGGATGTTGTTGTTGTTATAGTATTCAAATTTCAAATTTGCATCATTTGCTGAAAATGTGTAGAGCCGTAGACACAAAAACACGGAATGTGAATTTTGCTGCCTGCCACCAAGAGTGGTATTTAGATTGGACAATGATTGTAATTTACTTTTTTTCTTTCCTTTTCCTCGCCCTTTATCCTTGTGGGAACAATTTAGAAATCACATTTTATTAAATGAAACATTTTTTCCACTTCGATTATTATTCCCGTATCTCAATTAGTCCTAAATTTGAACATGGGAAGGTTCAGATCTACATGCAAAGATGTTTAGCTAGGTAATGGTATTGGTTGAAAAATATGCAAATTATTCTTGAAAAAAAAGAAAAAAAGTCTAAGATATTATTTATGGTATAGAATCTTATAGAAGTATTCTATCTTTGTAATGTATATTTATAGGGACTCAAGCCCTCAATAAAGACAAAAATCCTTTCCTTTTCAATATTACTCTACTTTATACTTTCCTCTTTAACAATAAGCTTCTTTATTTTTTACATTTGACTCAGGCTGAGAATATAATGCTCGTTGATAAGCATGAAGTAGACAAGGAACAAAATTCACTACTTAGAAGTCAATTGGCTCAACTTTTGCAGTTGGAGCAAGAACAGAAGATGCAAATAAAACAACGTGATTCCACTATCCAAACACTACAGGTTGACCCAATGCTTTACAAACATCTTATATATTCTTCTAGTAGTTTCAAGCCTAAGCTACTATTTCCTCTTTTCGACGAATAATACTTTTTAAACTTCTGCTACAACATTCATGTGAAAGATGATGTACTACTTTTAGAGGATCCCATGAGATTGGCCATGGTTCATGTAGCCAACCTTGTGATCCATTGATTCGGGAGAGTTACCATAATCTGCATCAATGAAGGCCTCAATTTATAACTGTCCCCTCTTGTTGAACTGGAATTCTTGTTGTGTACTTCCCTTTAAGCTGTGTAGAACCCCTTTTAGATGCAGTTTTCTTGGGTCATGCATGAGTTAACTTAGGACATTAATCGCATAGGCAGTGTCAGGTTTGGTACAGAAGAGATAGATAAACTTGCTACACAGACATTGATATATTTGTTGAATCAACCCTGGGATCATCAGTAGTAAGCCCAAACTAATGATTGGGATTCATTGGTGCAATAACCGATCGACAAACACCCTTACCAGTTTCACTCCACATATCTGTAATGTACTTATGTTGATGATAAAGATGCCTTCATATGAACAAGCAACTTCAATTCCAAGAATGTATTTGAGAGAGTTGAGAGCTTCGCTCACTAGGATTGACTTCCATGCCAACCCTAGGTTGCCTTCTTCACCGCCACTAGGGATCTTCCATTGCACAAGCTTCCACTTGTTTGGCTATGCATTCACGAGTTTATCTTCAGTTTTTGGAATTTTTTAAAACCATGAAGCTGGTTAGTTATAGTATAATCTTTTCAAAGGTATAACACTAAGCGTTCATTCGTCGCCAGAAGGTTTCTCATGGTTTAAAGGAGTAGTCTCTATCTCTTGGTGGTGTGGCTGCCCTGGAGGTTCCGGTGACCCAGCGTCGTTGGGTAAATTATGTTGAGGTAAGTTTATTGTTCGCCTTTCTTCCTCGGTCCATAAGCCCATTCCTGGTGAATTTCGACTCTCTTGTTGGAAGGTAACCTCCGATGTGCAACCGTTTGCCGGTTTGAGTTCAGATGGAACCGGTTGCCTTGTGGTTCCTCTAGGTCTCCACTTCACCTTTCTTTCTCTACTCATACTCAACCTGGGCAAAAGCTTTCCGGCGTCAGGACATGATTGCTTCCGAGCAAGGAGCCGGGCAAGATTGGGATAGTTACAGTGACGATTGGTAACGATCGATTTGAGTAGAGCCCCTCTGAAGTCAGCATGCTGCTTTGTGGGTTTTCGGTGGGTTACGCTTCTTCCCTGGGTCTACAAATCTTCGTCTGGCCACACTAGTTGATAGCGGTGCTAGTGTGTTGGAATCTTTTGCTCTCCCAGGTTATCTTGTTCCTTGTCACTGTGATGAAGCGTGGCCATGGCTTTATTGTAAGTGGCAGGTTGCCATGAGTTTACTTAGCCTCTGAAGTCTGCACAATGGATGTGTTAACCACCATATGGGTGGACATGTCCCTTGGATATTGGTTGCTCAACCTTCACCTTATTGCCTTGTTGATTGTGTTTGATGTTTTACGGCGAAGTTGAATGGTAAACCATGCCTGGGTATGGCTGGTTGGTTTCAGCCAGGCGATGTTTGATTTGGAGTTCCTGTTATCGCTGGAACTTATCGCCGGAACTGGGCCGAAACTACGCCGGCGACTGCCATGTTCGCTGACAGACCTGGCTGGTTATTGGTTCAAAGAGACATTTGTTCTCTCTGCCTCCCATGCGCGTCCAGAAGTGGGCCCGTACTATATTGGAGGCGCTGCCATTGAACAAAGGAAACCTAGGGTTCCTTACGAACATGCAGGTCAGGGCGAAGACTTGGGCGGAAATTGGGCTGATACTAGATGAGCTCTTGTGGTTCTAGAGTATGCGGGTTACCAAGTGCAAGGTTTTTATAATTATATTTACATTTTGAATGTTCTTGTTATAACACTAATTCATGCGGGTTACCGTACTAAATTCTCGTTTCTTGTGTTTCACGTTTGCCGTTTCACGTTTCCCGTTTCCCTTTTCTATGCTACATAGCTAGCAGCCGAGAAAATAGTCCGAGTGATCAAGGTGTCTAAGGTTGATCAAGCTTTTTTGGACACGATAGAACCCTTAGTGAAGAGCCTCACAGTAGGAGTTAAAGAGAGGGGTAGAGAAACCCAAATAGACTGTTAGAAGGGTGATGGAGAGAGTAGAAGGGTGATGGAGAGAGAAGAGGCTTAGACGAGATTAATTGCCAAGCTTTGATACCATGAAGTTTTCTGAGAGCTATTATTGAATCAAGAAGTACAACCCTATATTTATAGGAAATTAATTTTAAGGTAAGAGACACCTAGGAAGTTGTTCAGAAACTCTAGGTAAAAAGAACAGACACTAGTGACTAATATTAGTTACACACTGAATAGACACTAAAGACTCATAATTACAGAAATAATAAAGAAACTATTGCCTAACTAATGATGTCTCCTAGGTCAGTGAACAGGCACATCAACACGCTCCTATTGTTATTATAACCCTTAACTTTCTATTAGTATACATATTGTTTTTTAGTTAATATTCGTAATGGTGAATGTTATAGTGGATTTTATTCTACTCTAGTACTGGTCCCATTACTCTGGGAAGTTGGAACTACTTTAAAGAGATGTGCTCTATTCATTAATAATACCATAATTAATGTTGGAGTTATTCTTTAGGATCTTGTGAAGGCCGGGCACCATCTTCTCTTGTCTATATTGATTTTAATCCCTTTCATGTCATCTCCCAAACACATCTTAACATACTAACATGCACATGTGCATGATCTCGTCCAAAGTTGAAGATAGAGAACAGGAGAGCGGATGAACCGAGAGGAAGTTCCAATCAATACTTGTTATTTGGATCAACTATTATCAAGGAGAAAAAGTGATTTTCAAATTAGATCTTAATATTGAATCAATTAGTGCTCAACCTAGTCAATATCCATAACTAATTCTCCAAAAAGTAATTTATTAAAGCAAATGAGGTTCCGCCGTGCTCATACAACTCAATTAAAGAAAAAGATACTAAATTGGAATTAGGAAACTTGCATAAAATAAATAAATAAACTTGCTGTCAATTCAGCCACTTTTACTTGCGCTTGTCCGCAACACAATCTTCATTTGCCCAGCTCAGCTGGTGGTCCCCTTCGCCGTCATGGGTACTTTTGATCCCAGAGTGCATCCGTACTAGAATAAGGGTATGGGGCTTTTTATTAATGAGTTAACAGACTTAATCTGGACAGTGACTTAATCGCTCAACCAATAAGTCACGGTTACTTATGAGTTAGTTGAAAACACTACTTAATTACTTATTCGTTAAGACACGCTATAATACTCCTTCCAAGTAACACGCCTATTATGACGCTTATCCTGCCAATTTTTCTAAATCTATTATTGAATAAATGCATGCTAATAAATGACATTACTCATTGAAAAGATACCTAATAAATAACCTTCTATTGATTATTTTACAACTCAGACTGTTTATTCAGCATACAAAATACAGTCTAAATAGGTGCTGATAGAAAAACAAGTAGACAAACCCTATGTGTTGTTGTATACTTGGAATTTAGACATTCAGTTTATTTCAGCTGCTGTATATCCTTCCAGCATTTTTTGGGGTATACATTACTGTGTTTTCTTCTTTCCAATTACATATCTACATGCCTTAAGAAAAAAAGGTTTCTATCTCAGCGTACTGCTCTGCCTTTTGTATTCCATGATCATTGACAAGACTACTTTCTTATTGATATGGACCATATGGTAAATCTACCCAAGGCTTTTTGGACTGGCTTAAGGTTGTATGGTTTGTTTGGTGGTCCGAAGGACATCTGATTTTGCTCTGAATGGTACCCCTGCCATAATTATCATGACATTGCCCTCTCTGGTGTTTGCAGCTACCGGGTACAGGTCTCCTCGCTTGAAGAGTGTGGGGCGTTGAATCATGAGTGATGTAGCTTAGACAATCATGGCGACGGCCAAAATAAAATTTTTCTCGTAGATTCAATTTCCTTCAAGTTTTCTATTTTAATTCTATGATGTGTTTAGATATTACATATGCGACTTGTCTTCTATTGTCGCCTAGGTGGTCTGTTGCTAGCAACGTTGCTCCCTTGGTGCCTTGATCATGATTCTCTATCGAAAAACTTATATAACCATATGTACTCTTATCTCTTAAACATGGTTGCTTTCTTTTGTGCAGACTAAAATCAAATGCCTTGAGTTGCAACTGAATGAAGCCCTTTCTTATAGTGAGAGAACATTAATAAATGGCCAAGAATCAAGGCCTACAGTGCAAACTAGTTTCAATCCAAGTGGCACGTTGGATTCTACTGTTGTAACTAGAAGACTTGAAGAGGAACTTTTAAAACGTGATGCATTGATTGAGGTAATTTCTCAATGCTCATTATTTCTGTGAAATATAAGATTGTATTCATTATACTTGATGAAGAAATGCTATAAAACTAGCTCTATTTATAGGTAAATTAGAGCATTAGGGTTTCTATACACAAATGAGCTAAGCCCAATACAACTAGGGATTCCACACTCCCACTCAAGCTGGAGCATATAAATCATATGCACCAAGCTTGTTACAACTATACTCTACTCTAGAACCTCTAAAAGACTTAGTTAAAGCAATGTTGTGTTGACATATTTTGTGAAAATATGTCTAGTTGCGATCTTTTCTCGAATAAAGTGGCAATCAACTTCAATTTGTTTGGTCCTCTCATGATATACCGGATTCTATGCAATGTGCATTGCGGCTTGATTGTCACAATAATTGAACCGGTTTTATGCTTTAATATTTTAGCTCTTGGAAGAGATGCTTCAGCCACAAGATTTCGCATGTAGCAAGGGCCATCACACGGTATTCTACTTCAGCACGGGATCTGGCAACCACATCTTGTTTCTTACTCTTCCAAGAAATTAGATTTCCACCGATCAAGATGCAATATCCCGAAGTAGAACGTCTATCCATCGGACATCTTGCCCAATCTGCATCACAGTATCCCATAATATCACGGTGACTTCGATCTTCGAATAGCAACCCTTGCCCTGGTGTTTCCTTGATGTATCTCAAGACTCGAATAGTTGCATCCCAATGTTCATTATATGGCTTATCAAGAAATTGACTAAGAACACTTACCGCAAATGAAATATCTGGTCGGTAATTTAGTTTGCCAATGAGTCTTTAATATTTTCCTTTATTGGGCAAAGGGTTTCTTTGTTCTGACAAGAGTTTGACGCTTGGATCCATTGGTGTATCCATTGTTTAAACTCTAGCATACCTCTTTCTTCAAGAATGTCCAATGCATACTTTCTTTGTGAGAATGCAATTCCGTTTTGAGACTGTGCAATCTCAATGCCAAGGAAGTACCTTAGCTTTCCCAAGTATTTTGTTTGGAATTTGCTAAAAAGATATTGCTTAAGGAGTGCAATTCCTTGTTCATCACTTCCTGTAATGACAATATCATCAACATACACAACAAGATAAATACATTTATCGCCCGCAGAATGCCTATAGAATATATAATGATCGATATCACTTCGAATCATTCCAATCCACGAATAACAGCACTAAACCTCCCAAACCATGCACATGGAGATTGTTTCAAGCCATATAATGAACGATGTAATCTGCACACCAAACCTGACTCCCCCACAACAGAGCCAGGCGATTGCTCCATATAAACCTCCTCGTGTAGATCACGGTGAAGAAATGTATTTTTAATATCCAACTGAAATAAGGGTCAGTGACTATTGCCGCCATGGATTAAAATATAACGAACAGAAGCAACAATCTTGGCGACAGGAGAAAATGTGTTAGTGTAGTCTAACCCATAGATTTGAGTGTACCTTTTCGCCACAAGGGGTGCTTTAAAATGATCAATGTTACCATCCGGACCTACTTTGGCAATGTATATCCACTGACACCCAACAATTGATTTGCCAGTGGGAAGGGAGACTAATTCCCATGTCCCACTAGAATGAAGGGCTTCCATCTCAGCCAACATAGCTTTACGCCATTCCGGATGTGCCAATGCCTCATGTGTGGTTTTAGGAATGGAGATATGGGATAGGTGTGCAACGAAAGCAAAGTAAGGGGTAGAGAGGCAATGATAACTCAAAACGTTATATATGGGATGTGGATTCAAAGTAGAGCGCGTACCTTTTCGAAGGGTATCATCCTGAGTCGGTTCAGGTGCTAGAACTGCTGATGGTGATGATGTTGGATCCGTGGTAGGGGAATCACGAGGTGTGGTCACAATAGGCTCAATGGAAGGAGGTCAAGGACGTCGATGATATACTTGTAATGGACGGTCTGCCATAGGACAGTTTGGATGCTCATCAGATGTGGGGAAATAGGAGTATTTGGAAAGATGGGTCGGAGATATGAGGTGAAGTCCATAAACGAGGGGGTATCAAGTAGTGCCTGACCGGCTGGATTTGGTCGCCAAGGATGGCGTGTGGAGAGATACTGGAATCCAGACTGGCTGGATTTGGTCGCCAAGGAGTGCTGTTTTTGATAATCTGGTCGGTGTAGATGTCAAACAAGTAGAAAGGAGTAGATCTGCAAAAAGCTTACAGTTGCAGGTATGAACTTCAACGGCGCGTGGAGGCGCGTGGATGAGGCAGCGTCGGCGGTAAGTTGCGATGAGCACTACGGTAGGCTTAAATCACTACCGGAAGCACGACGTGCACGACCACTTTTCACACCGGAATTTATGCCCGGAATTTCCGACTGGCAGAAATATTATAACACTAACTAGTTATATTTTCCATATTGGCTCTACCATGTGAAATATAAAATTGTATTCATTATACTTCATGAAGAAATGCTATACATGTAGCTCTATTTATAGGTATATAAGAGCAATCAGGGTTCCTATACCCAAAGGGGCTAAGCCCAATACAACTAGGGTTTCCACAATTTCTGAAGAGGCTAGGTTAGTAATAAAAAGCCCTATATGGAAGTAAAGTAGCTTTTAGTTTCGACAATTAACTTTAGCATGTGATGTTTCTTCTCATGCTTGGGGGTTAGTGTTTAGTTGTTCATTTCAATTTGGCAGTAATGTTATCAAGCACTCTTTTTCCCTAGCATATTGAGGATATATTGTCGTTAATTTTAAATTTACATGTTCCATTTCCAGAGGTTGCATGAAGAAAATGAGAAGCTATTTGACAAATTAACAGAAAAAGTCTCACTAGCCGTATCACCACAGGTTATCCGTGCAATATATCTTCCATTCTATTCAAGTTCCTACTTATCAAGTGTATAAAATGTTTCTTCTGTAACCTGCGATGCTGTCTACATATAGAAACACTTGTTGGCTTATTACTCATATGTATAATTAAGTCGTTCTTGCATTCTTGTTTATGATTCACAAGATTTCATGAATAATCTGAGGTGAACCTGTTACGAGGATGTACACGATTTTAATGCAATTAGGTGCCATGGTTTTTCATTAGTAGTGAGGGCTAACCTTAAACTTTGTTCTGACACTCAAGTTTCATGCATTTGCTGGTCATCTTTTGACCTTGTAGGTAACCATGTTTGAGTTGTGCTGTTGTGAACCGAAAAATAAAAATCAACGGGGTAAACCGTTGCCTAGATAATCAACGATAAAAATACCGTTGCCCAGAGCCAAAAGGCTAAAACCAATTTTATTCCAAGATGAGCCCGAATGAACCCTAACAAGGGGTTTAAATACCCATCTACTAATTCTTAAACTAGGAAACAAAATCCTAGAAATCCTAATCAACTCCAACTAGGAAACAAAATAATAGAGATCCTAATCAACTTCAAATAGGAAACAAATAATAGAAATCCTAATTAACTCGTAATAGGAAACAAATAATAGAAATCCTAATTAACTCCAAATAGGAAACAAATCAGGAAAATTAAAAATAATAAATATTAATTAAGCAGCCTGCAACCAGCCCACGAAGGTGGGCTCAAGCCCGTTCCCGCCTGCAGTAAACTGACAGCCCCTTGGGTCTCGGACCCTCCTCTTCCACACAGCCCCCCTGCTCTCCGTGCTCTCTATCATGTGCTTAGTTTATTGCCCTATATTTTACAATCTCACTAGGGTGCTTTTTGTTTCAGGTGTCAAGTTCATCACCTAAAAGACCAACTATACAAAACCGAGACGTGGGAAGGTATATGTTTGTTAGTCACTTAGTCACACTTCAAGCGGTTGTATAGTTTACTTCAAACATCTTAATTTTCTGCAACATTGGTCATTTCTCAATGCTCTACACATTTTTTTCTTGCTGTGCTTGACAGAAATTTCACAAATGATAATAATGTGAAAGGACATCATTTGGGTGAGGTTCCTTTGCCGTCAGATAAGTCTGAAGAATCTGTTGCTTTGGTCAAACCATGTGCTGAAAGTATAAAGAGAACCCCAGCTGGAGAATATCTAACTTCTGCCTTAAATGATTTTGATCCTGCACATTATGACGGCAGCCTTGCTGCCATATCTGACGGAGCAAATAAGCTTTTAATGCTGGTATTATTAATCTACACTCTGTTGATATATTAATTATGACTAATGTATGTTCCTGAATTCGTCCCATATAACATTCTTCGCTTTTTTCACCTATATTCTTAATATCATTTTTGGGCTCTCTATATTTGTCCGATCAACAAAAAAGCACATTTCATGGCATTCCTGGTTTCTTATAATTCAGATGTCTTGTTTTGGATCTTTAAAATCTTGATTGAGATATCATTTATCAAATATATTTCTTCAACAATCTAACCATAAATGTTGCAGGTTCTGGCTGCTGTCATCAAAGCAGGCGCGTCTAGAGAACATGAGATACTTGCTGAAATTCGGGATGCTGTTTTTGCTTTCATTCGTAAAATGGAGCCAAGGAGAGTAATGGATACCATGCTTGTTTCCCGTGTTAGGATATTGTATATTAGATCTCTGCTTTCTAGGTCACCAGAGCTCCAATCTATCAAGGTATTAGAACACTGATCTATTTTTATCATGCTTTGATGTGTGTATTTTCTCTATTACTGATTTTGATAAGTCTGTTTTCTCCAGGTGTCCCCAGTTGAGCGCTTTTTAGAGAAAGCTAATACTGGTCGAAGTAGAAGCTCTAGCCGTGGCAGTAGCCCTGTAAGGTCTCCTGTGCGTTACAATTCTCTACTAGATGAACATATACAAGGATTTAAAGTAAATTTAAAGCCAGAAAAGAAATCAAAGATATCATCTGTGGTTCTCAGGATACGTGGTATTGATCAGGTAACTCGTGCTTATTAATTGTTGTTTTTTGTTCACTTTCTTTGGCGTGCTTCAGTTTTTATGAATGTTTAAGGTTAAATTTACCAAACTATGACTACAACATTGTCAATTTCCCTAAGAGTTTTTGCCACTTTTAGATTTCCTACTCTTATGTCATAAACACTTTTGTTACGCGACTTTGAATATTTCCATTTTAGTCTCCTCAGTATCTTCACGAAGTATTTTGGATCCGGTAACCATTACCGAACTTGAATCCCTACTGCTAGCAAAAGAAATACGTCAAAAGAAATTGCGTGAATCTACACAGCGAACGTTGTTCTCTGCAAATATGGCTCGTGGAGAAGTTCCGTCTCCAAACAATGATCCTACTCATCAAATCGCCTTAGAAAATCCTTCAGCAAATGTTGCTCAGTTCAATAATCCCAATGCTAACAATTCCTACAGAGGACGAGGTCGTGGAGGCTACACCAGAGGCCGTGGTGGCCGGTCTGGAGGTCGGAACTCTGTAATTTGTCAAGTCTGGTAAATCTGGCCATCATGCCCTAACCTGTTACCATCGCTACAATCCTTCCTATGCTGCTCCAGCTTATACTGCTTCAGCTTATACTCATCCCACTTCTGCTGCTCCATTTACCTGGAACCAACATAACAAATCTTCCTATTATCCTAATTACATAAATCAACACTGAACACATCCTTCTCAAACTCATCATCACCAACAGCCAGCCACAGCTTACTTATACCCCTCAAATCAATGGAACCAACAACCTACACATTCAACTCACCCAAGGCCCAATAATTCATTTCTAGAGACTTTTAATTGGAGTCAGCAACCTCCCACCTTTTTACCTACTGCTGTCTTAGCTACTGCTCATTCTTCTGTGCTTGAACCTGCTCCAACATCTCAATATTGGTTTCCAGACTCAGGAGCCACCCACCATGTGACTGCAGACCCTCTAAATCTTCAGCATAGTGACCCTTTGCTACAATTGACAAACTCTTTATGAGCAATGGTCAAGGTTTGGATATACAGTCTATTGGTTACTCTTCCTTTCCTTCACCTTATCATTCTTTTCAACTTCTTTCATTAAATAATATTCTGCATGTTCCTTCTATCACCAAGAATCTATTGAGTGTTAGTCAGTTTGCCAAAGGCAACAATGTTTTCTTTGAATTTTATCCTCATGAATGTTTTGTCAAATCACAGGTTTCTAACGTCTTATTACATGGCACTCTTGGTGAAGATGGTCTTTACCAGTTTCAAATGTTTCTTGCTCTTGGTTCTTATCAGTCAACTACTCCTGTATCTCAGTTTACAAACATGTCTTCTTTTATATCTACTTGTAATAATTCTCAGCCATGTAATCAATTAGTTGACCGTAATATGTGGCACTTAAGACCATGCTTGTCACGGCATCGCCTAGGCGTCGCCTAGTCGCCGAGTAGGCGTCCAGGCGCTGGGGACTGCTCGCCAGGTAAGCTCGCCTCTCCGGAAGATGACCAGTCGCGTTTGGCGTCGCCAAGGCGTTGTTCTGGCGTGAGTTGGCGACCTGTGGCCGCCTATTTTAGCCCAGTCGAAAAGTCGTCCGCAGGCCCTGAGTAGATTACAGATTTATATCAAGGTTTAATTTTTTAGGAAACCCATTTAATTAAGGATTTAAGGCGGTGGCCTTCTAATTAAATACAAAGCCTGAAAGAGAACAACTCACAGAGAAGCACGAACCAACTTCAAAGGCAGAACAAGTCGTCGGTCACGCTAATAGCCACTCCCAGTCCGTCGTTGAAGCTTGAAGCATAGACGATACCGTCCAGTTGAGTCCACCGATTTCTTATGTAGTCTTATTTTTTATTCTCTAGCGGTGTAGTGGACTTATTTTTTTAATATTTTTATTAATTAAGTGGTATATATATGTATCAATGTATGTATATCAATATATGCGTACAGTATTAATTATATAGATACTATAAGTATAAAACAATTAATTTATTAAATACAGTGAACATGGTGACAATGATATAGACATTAAACCATTAATTTATTCTACTGGTGAAGTGGTGATATACTGAATACTGATATGCTCATATATTAGTATAATAATAAACTCTTAAACCATTAATTTATTATATATTTAACTTTTTTTGAAGTATCAAGTATACCAGTATATCAAGTGCGTACTTTACATACCAATATACTGAACTGCTTATTTGAGATATACATTTTTAATCTTATTTTCTGTGAATTATATGAACTGTATTTCATTATAATGAATCTTAATATGAAGAACTATACAAGTAGCTATATTTATAGCAAAAACTAGAGCACTAGGGTTACTATACAAGATGGGCTAAGCCCAATACAACTAGGGTTTCAACACTCCCCCTCAAACTGGAGCATATAAATTATATGCACCAAGTTTGTTACAAATATATTGCATCCTAGGTCCTCTAAGAGACTTGGTTAAAATATCTGCAAGTTGATCTGTTGTTTTGACATAATGAGTAGTAATATGTCCATTTGTGATTTTTTCTCGTATAAAGTGACAATCAACTTCAATGTGTTTAGTCCTCTCATGATACACTGGATTGGAAGCAATGTGCATTGCAGCTTGATTATCACACATTAGCTTGACAGGTTTCATGCTTCCGTATTTTAATTCTTGGAGGAGATGCTTCAACCATAATATCTCACATGAAGTAAGGGCCATGGCACGATATTCTGCTTCAGCACTAGACCTGGCAACCACATCCTGTTTCTTACTTTTCCAAGAAATTAAATTCCCACCAATCAAAATGCAATATCCAGAAGTAGAACGTCTATCCATTGGACATCCAGCCCAATCTGCATCACAATATCCAACAATGTCACGGTGCCCTCGATCTTCAAAGAGTAATCCTTGTCCTGGAGTTTTCTTGATGTATCTCAAGACTCGGATAGCTGCGTCCCAATGTCCATCACATGGCTTATCAAGAAATTGACTAAGCACACTGACAGCAAATGAAATATCTGGTCTTGTGATGGTAAGATAGTTCAACTTCCCAATAAGCCTTCTATATCTCTCTTTATTGGGCAGGAGGTCACCTTGTTCTGACACGAGTTTGACGTTTGGATCCATTGGTGTATCCACTGGCCTACAATCCAACATACCTGCTTCCTCAAGAATATCCAATGCATATTTCCTCTGTGAGAGCACAATTCCATTTCTTGATTGGGCAACCTCAATACCAAGAAAGTACTTTAGTTTTCCCAAGTCTTTTGTTTGAAATTTGCTAAAAAGATATTCCTTGAGTTGGGCAATTCCTTGGTCATCATTACCTGTAATGACAATGTCATCAACATATACAACAAGAAAGATACATTTATTGCCTGCAGAATGTCTATAGAATATGGAATGATCTACATCACTCCGAGTCATGCCAAAACCACGAACAACAACACTAAATCTCCCAAACCATGCACGCGGGGATTGTTTCAGGCCATATAAAGAACGACGTAATCTGCAAACCAAACCAGACTCCCCCTGAGCAACAAAACCAGGTGGTTGCTCCATATAAACCTCCTCATGTAAATCACCATGGAGAAATGCATTCTTTTAATGAGGTGGCATGCAGTGAGAACAGCATCTGCCCAATACTGTGGTGGTGAATGTGAATGTAACAACATAGTACGGGCAGTTTCAATTAAATGTCTATTCTTGCGTTCAGCAACCCCATTTTTTTGAGGTGTATAAACACAAGAAGACTGATGAAGCATACCCCGTGATGTCATGAATTGATTAAAGGGACTGGTAAAAAATTCCTTAGCATTATCACTACGTACAATCTTGATAGAACGCCCAAATTGGGTGTGAATTTCAGCCCAAAACTTTTGAAAGATATGAAACAATTCAAGACGTTCTTTCATTAAAAACAACCACGTGTGACGGGAGAAGTCATCCACAAAAATGACAAAATAACGAAACCCTAGGGTAGAATTGACTCGATACGGACCCCATACATCTGTATGAACTAAATCAAAAGGGGACGCAGCCTTGTTATTGACACGTCTTGGAAAGGACTGACGAGGTTGCTTTCCAAGATGACACGACTCACAATCTAAAGAGGAAATACTGGAGAAACGTGGGACCATACGTCGAAATTTGGAAAGACTGGGATGACCCAAACGATTATGTAAGGAAAGTGCTGGTTCAGTAGACACACAAACAACTGGATCAAGAGGTTGGAGGTGATACAAGCCCTGAGATTCACGCCCGACGCCAATCATCTTCCCCGTACAACGGTCCTGCACAGTCACAGAGTCAGCATAAAAGGTTATAGAACAATTAAGAGAGCGTGTAATTTTGCTAACAGAGACAAGGTTAAAAGGGCTACGAGGAACATATAGAACTGAATCTAATGGTAAGGATGAAAGTGGGAGTGCTTGCCCAATACCCGTAGCCGAAGTGTGAAGACCATTGGCTAGAGTGATTAATGTAAGGTTTTGGTATTTTGTAATATGGGATAAAAGATGGGGATTACCAGAAATATGGTCGGAAGCACCTGAGTCAATGATCCATGAGCTAGTTGTGTTTGACACACATGCTGTAGAAGTACCTGATGTTGACGAAGTCAAAGTGGACTGCTTAAATTTCTGATAAGCATCATATTCGTCAGGAGGCAGCACAACTGGAACTTGCGGGATTTGGGCAACATTGGCAGAGCTGGGAGGTTTACCATGTAACTTCCAACACCTATCTTTAGTATGACCCATCCTATGACAAAAATCACACTTGGGACGATTACAGCGTGGATATCCTTTGTGATTTCCCCCATCATGCCCGGAACCTTGAGATGCAAGAATGATAGAATCACTTGAAGATGCGTCAACAGATATTGGGGCGGCTCGAAGAATTCTGGAAAAGGCTTCAGACATTGTAGGAACAAAAGAACTGGAGAGAATTTGCTCACAGATTGATAACAACTCTGGGCGAAGACCTGCTAAGGTTAAAACCATAACAAGTTGTTGTCTTTGCTCAAGTTGTTTCTCCTTATCCTCAGTGATAGGTTGAATATTATTATATTCAAACAGTAATGCCTCATCCCGTCCTAGAAACTCTTGAATGTCCAAATCCTGTTGTTTGAGTGTAGCAATTTTGGAACCAAAGGAAAACAGATTTTGGATGTCATTTGTGTAGTTGGACTTCGCTTTTTCCCAAATCTGTTTGCATGTGCGATATGATTGATAAGTAGGATGAAGTTTTGGATCCATAGATTGCCATAACACGTTACACAATAAGGCATCCATATTCTCCCAGTCATTCCGCTTGTCTTTGATCGTAGCTGCATCGACATTCAAGTGATCAATTTGACCTTGACCCTTGAACCACATCTCCACGGAAATAGCCCATGACTGATAATTAATACTTCCAGCTAGTCGATCGGTGGTGATGATTGGAACTGAAGCAAACGAAGAGAAACTTGACATTTTTTTTTCCTTTCTTTTTCTTTGTTTTTTTGTTTTTTTTTTTGTTTTTTTTTTGAACAAATAAAAGATCAGGCAAATCAGTAAAGCGGAACAGTAAGCTCAAAAATAAAACAAAATGGAAGAACTACTACTGTGACCAGTGGAACAAGCAGCAGCAGAAGTCTGCTCAGAAGGCAGTGACGGTGGTGGAGCAAGGCAGTGACGGTGGTGGAGCGTCTGGACCGTCGGCGCGTTTCTGGCGGCCAGTTCGCCCGGCGGCGGCGCGTGTGGATGCGGCGGCACGTGGAGAGGCCTAGGCGTACCAGACTGGCTGGTCTAGGTCGTCGGAGACCTAGGTGTCTGAAAACACTGGCGGTGTCGCTCACAGATGAGTAAAAACGGAGTAGATCTGCAAAATCGGTCAGTAAACCGTGGGTAGAGAAGCGGCGCGTGTAGGCGCGTGAATGAGTCCGAGCTGGTACGGTTTCCGGCGGGTTGGTCGCGATGGTGCGCTGAGCAAGGCGGTAGGCGTAGATTTGATAAATCACTACCGGAAATGCTCCAACACCTAGTGCGGCTACTGTTCACGCCGGAAAAACAGTGTCCTAACTACAGTGCGCCGCCTAAAACAGTGGCTCTGATACCATGTGAATTATATGAACTGTATTTCATTATAATGAATCTTAATATGAAGAACTATACAAGTAGCTATATTTATAGCAAAAACTAGAGCACTAGGGTTACTATACAAGATGGGCTAAGCCCAATACAACTAGGGTTTCAACAATTTCCATTAATAAACCTTGTTTTTAATTATTAATTGTGGATTTCAATTCTAAGTTAAATACATTTTAGTTAGTAATATATTATACATAATATATAATTAAATATATAATTATATATGTAAATATATTATTATATATATAATACGTAGTATATAATATAATATGCACATATAGATGACTAGTCGCCTAATTGTCGCCTAGGCGGGCGCCTTGTCGCCTAGGCGATATGGCGGTCAGCTGGCGCCGCGACTCGACTTACCGCCGTGACAAGTATGCTTACGACTAGGACACCCTCATCTTGAGGCCTTAAAGTCTGTACTCAAACATTGTAATATCTCTGCAGTTAATAAAAATAATGTTGAGTTTTGTTCTGCTTGATGTCTTGGCAAAGCACACATAGGCTACGATCTTACACATCCACCACTCAATTTCATTCTCCATTTGAGCTAATATTTACTGATCTGTGGGGTCCAGCTCCTATATTGTCTTTTGATGGCTATTCCTATTACATTTCATTCATAAATGCCTTCACAAGATAGACTTGATCTATTTTCTTAAAAAGAAGTCTGATGCACCCACAACTTTTCAAAATTTCTATCAATATGTTCTCAATAAATTTTTGGTGTCTATTAAATCTATTCAATCTGATTGGGGAGGTGAATTCAGATCATTCACTCAATTTCTAATAGGAAAAGGTATCACATATAGAATCATTTGTCCCCACACACACCATCAAAATGGTGTTGTGGAAAGGAAACATCGTACTATCGTGGAAAAGGGTCTCTCTCCTTGCTCATTCTTCCTTACCCTTTAAATTTTGGGACACTGCTTTTGCCACATCTGTCCATCTCATAAATAGAATTCCCTTGATAGGAAAACTGATTTCGTAACAGTGAAACAATCACTATTATTGAACAGAATTGCAGAAAAGAATAAGAAGGTATAGACAGGGCACTTCGAGAGGCCTCAACTCTCCCAGATCCCAATTTCCCAATTCTAAAATCTGCCTCCCTTTATTCTATTCCCAGCTACTATTTATAATACTTGGTTTACGGGCCGGCCCATAACAAAATTAATACCAGGCCTAGACCCCCTTTAACATAATAGAAACTATGTAACATTATTTTATTATTATTATTATTATTATACTAATAGGTTCCTATCATATCTCCCCCCTTAGACAACCACCTTGTCCTCAAGGTGGGTGATAGGAAACAGCCTTAACTTCCGACTTCATCTTCATCCTGGCACCTCTTCCTTCCCAATACATCTCGAATTTCTGGACCATGATCTTCATTACTTGACCCTTCATCACCCCTTTTGAACAAAGCTGTCCACAACCCGGTTTCACCAGATTCTCTTCAGAAAGAGGTATGCTGTAACTCTGGAGAACATAATGATTGTTCTCTTGCTCAGGTTTCTTGGTAGAGCAGCAAATGTTCTCATAAAATTGCAACTCTCTGGGGTTTGTCAGTATGAAAAAGGAACAGAGTTCATTGCTTTTCATATCACAAACAATTGGTACTGTAATAATACCTCCAAACAGCCTCATATTTTGCACTCCTGCACCCTCTGTGTTTGGCTGTAGCCTATTCTCAATAATGTGGTGAAGATTTTGACCAGGTCCTTGTGAAGCATTAGAATTATTAACATTTTGAGAAGTGACAGGGAGAACTCTACCAAAAACCTTGTTGGAGAATTCCATAGAACCTTTAGAAGCATCAGAAGCTGGGCATCCAAGAGAAACATGAACTGCAGTTGGGCCAATTTCAGGTCCAGCGACCACTGACAATTTCTCCTCGTTTTCATTGTCGCCTTCAGTGAACTTCTTTGCATTTTCTTCAAATTGCGAAGCACTCATTGCATTTTCTCCAAATTGCGAAGCACTCTTAGCGTCGGAGGAAGGTTGCTGCAGATTAATGACTTTCAAACTGAGCTGTGAAGCTTGTGAAGTGAGAGACTCTGCTGGCGATTTCTTCTGGCTTTCATTGTTGCCCTCAGTGAACTTCTCTCCATTTTCTCTGGATCGCGACACACTCCTATCTGTAGAGTAAGATTGCCGTCCACTAACAAACTCCTGTGGGACTGATGAAACCTGCGCACAGTGAGAAGTGTTTTGCGACAAAACCTGTGATGAGAACTGCGAACTGAGAGAAGTCGGGCCTTGAGCCCTGAGAACTGAGACCTGCGAACTGGTAGACTGCAATTGCGAAGAAGTTCGCGATTTCGAACTTTGAGATGAAGATCGCGAAGAAGAAAATTTCGATTGTGAAGAAGAAAATCTCTGAATCTGTTCATTCAATACGGCCATATAAGTCGCGAAGTGGCTCTGAATCTGTTCGTTCATCGCTGTCAGAGAAGCTGCGATGTTTTCCATTTCCGTCCTCTCCCGTTCCGACGTATGAACACGGTTTTCCTTTTTTTTTTCTTTCTCGTTCTGACCATCCACCTCTGTAACGCAAACTAGGTTGCAATCGAGATTCAATTTCCGATCCCCAAGAGCAACTGCTCTGATACCATTGATAGGAAAACTGATTTCGTAACAGTGAAACAATCACTATTATTGAACAGAATTGCAGAAAAGAATAAGAAGGTATAGACAGGGCACTTCGAGAGGCCTCAACTCTCCCAGATCCCAATTTCCCAATTCTAAAATCTGCCTCCCTTTATTCTATTCCCAGCTACTATTTATAATACTTTGTTTACGGGCCGGCCCATAACAAAATTAATACCAGGCCTAGACCCCCTTTAACATAATAGAAACTATGTAACATTATTTTATTATTATTATTATTATTATACTAATAGGTTCCTATCATCCCTCTAAATCTATGGGTCCATATCAGACTATTTCTTTCTCAAGGTATTTGGCTGTTCATTATTAGACCTATAACAAGCACAAAATGGATTTTCATTCTGAGGAATGTATTTTCCTAGGCTATTCCTCTCAACACAGAGGTTACAAGTGTCTATCTCCAACTGGAAAGGTTTACATCTCCAGAGATGTCATTTTTCATGAGTCCAGGTTTCCCTACTCGATTCTTTTTCCACCCACCAACACGAACTCCAGTACAACTTCATCCACGTCCTCTGCTCCTATTATTGTTCTTCCTTCATATATTTCATCCATCTCTACTATTTCTCCTTCTTCACAAACCACTGCATCACAAACTACTGAATCACAGAGTGCATCTCACTCTTCCGCTCCATTGTCTGCCCATTTTGATCAATCAGCACAGCCTGGTTTATCTTCTTATCCTAAAACATCATCTTCTTCCACATCTTCACCATCACTTGATCCTGTAACTAACACTCATCCTATGACCACTAGAGCAAAATCTGGAATTGTAAAACCTAGACTTCATCCTACCTTACTATTAGCCCATACTGAGCCTAAATCAGTTAAGAAAGCTCTTTCATCCCCTAACTTGTTAGGAATGGGCTAATTTCTTCCTACATCAATAAATGTTCTTCGATCTTGTTCCTCGTTAATTGTTTGTGATTCATTGTGTTGCGAGTTGGATTTACCAGTGTTCTAACATAACTGGTTTGCAGCTATGAAATCAGAATATGATGCTTTGATGAAGAATCACACATGGTCTTTAGTTCCCCTACCACCACATAAGCAGGCAGTAGGTTGCAAATGGGTGTTCAGAGTCAAAGAAAACTCAGATGGTTCTCTAAACAAGTTCAAAGCCAGATTAGTGGCTACAGGGTTTAACCAAAGATTTGGATTTGACGTTGGAGAAACATTTTCACCAGTTGTCAAACGTTTGACAATCAGGGTTCTGCTCACTCTTTCAGTGTCACACAACTGGTCTATCCAGCAGCTTAATGTAAACTATGCATTCCTGAATGGGGAATTAGAAGAAGTTTACATGGTACAACCTCCAGGATTTCAGGTCAAAGACAACTCTCTACTCTGCAAATTGCACAAGTCCCTCTATGGGCTCAAACAAGCTCCAAGAGTTTGGTTTCAAAAACTTACCTCAGTATTGTACAATGTTGGTTTTAAACAAAGCAAATGTGATCCTTCTTTGCTCATTTTTGTGTCATCTGGAATTCAGATCTACATCCTTATATATGTTGATGACATTTTAGTTATTGGAAATAACTCTTCAGCCATTCAACAACTCATTCATAAATTGCAATCCTCATTTTCTCTCAAAAACTTAGGAGATGTTGATTTCTTCCTAGCGATTGAGGTCGGAAAACTCTCAGATGGTAGTTTGCATCTGTCTCAACTCTCAAGCTAAGTATGTGAGAGATCTACTTCATCAGGTTGGAATGTCAGACTCTAAAGGAGTCAAAACACCTATGGTTAGTAACTGCAAGCTCATTCATCAAGGTAGTGAACCTTTACCTGATCCGTCTACCTACAGGTCTATTGTTGGAATACTGCAGTATGCAACTCTAACAAGACCTGAAATAAGCTATGCTGTTAACAATGTGTGTCAGTTCATGGCTACACCTTTACAAGATCATTGGAAAGCTGTCAAACACATCCTAAGATACCTCTCTAGAACTATCACACATGGAATTATTATAAAGCCCGTTCCTTTAAATACTACATCTTTACCTACTTCAGCCTTTTGTGATGCTGATTGGGCCTCTGATCCAGTTGACAGAGGGTCTACATCTGGGTCTTTTATCTTTCTTGGGCCCAACATAATCTCTTGATGGTCCAAGAAGCAACTGCGTGTGGCGAGATCCTCAGCAGAGGCCGAGTATAGAAGTCTAGCAGACACCACATCTGATATGCTATGGGTTCAGTTCTTGCTTAAGTAACTTCAAATTCCTTTTCAAGCTCCCAGAGTGTACTTTGATAACCTAAGTACAGTTCAGGTAGCTCATAAGCCTGTACTTCACTCTCGGATTAAACACTTGGAGATTGATCTCTTTTTTGTAAGGGAAAGAATTGTTAGGGTTCTGGGACTGAGAACAGGTCCAGGGACGACTTGGGGTAGCTGGGTACCCGGTTGAGGTGGTAACCTGCCTGCTAGGGTTACTCCTCTTCTTGCCCGTGGCTGGAAGAGCGCAGTAAGAGCGCAGGGGGAGGGGGAAGTCTGTCACTTCTCTCTGGGAATAATTCTTCTAATGATTGATACCTTTATTATGCTGAATAAAGAATATAAATAGGCATCCTGCCTTTACATGATAGAGTTCTAATCTAACAGAAACTGTAACCTCTAATACTTCTATTCCTAATAGGAAGTAATAAATAAAATATAAAAATAGCATCAGGATAATTCCCTCTTCTAATTAAACTATTCTAATTAAACTTCCCGCTGGTTCCATAGAATGCATCCGTAACATCACTCCCTCCCTCGAAACTGAGCTTGTCCCCAAGCTCATATCCTGGATAAGCAGTGATAAAAGTGTCAAACGGCTCCCAAGTGGCCTTGTCTGGTGTGCTGCCTTGCCATTGAACTAATAGTTCCACTTATAGCATTGGCAGACAACTCCAAGTCTCGGAAGCCATCATCTTCTTCCTGCTCATCTTCTATCTCAATCAAGAAACCTTTGTGCATCGGTGATTCATCGTCCACTGTTCATCACAATTATAACATAGCCCTTTTGCTCTGCTTTCTGCCATTTCATCCTTCGGGAGTCGCTTAACAATGGGATTTCCTGCCTTTGTTGTCACGAGCGCTTGTCTAAGCTGTGGTGGGCTGCGTTGTTTCATATCTGTTGCAGTGCCCAAGACTTTTACAGGTGCAAGCGTCAGTGTTTGCCTTGCTTCCAATGTCCGTGCAAGGTTCATTGCGTAACCCAGGTTGCTTGGTTTGCTATCACCACATCAGCCCGTAAGTGGGGATGGAGACCGGCGACAAACAAAGCAATCTGATGCGTGCACTGTATTTGTGAAGTTCTTGCTAAGGCCTTTTGAAATTGGGCACAATACTCATCAACTGATCCGATTTGCATCAGAAGTTTTAGATCTCCAATCGAGTTAGAATTCAAAGGGGGCCCAAAGCGCTCCAGACAGAGTTCTTTAAACCTCTCCCAGTTGGCTTCTCCTTCTTCCTCTATTATCTGATCGAACCAAAATTGTGCATTTTTTATTGTGGATTTATTTCCTAATTTAGATAATATTTACATCACAAATATTCAGAATTTCACATCTATGAAGTGGAATGAGACCATATTCATCCTTGCAACACTAGGAGTTTTTTGGTTCAAGAAGATTTTTTTGCACCTTTTCAACCAACTGGTAGGGTCATAGGTGCCATCAAACACATGAAATTCCATCTTCACATACCCTGGCTTCCAGGATTTCGAGGTGCTGTGTGATATCAGGCTATTATCGGCTGGCTCTTCCTGTGGTTCTGTTGATTTGTGGACTGCCAGAGATAGAGCAGCAATCTGCCCTTCTATGGCGGTTACCCTAGTAGTCAGTCTCCATAAACTCCTTCATCATAGTGGCTAAATCATCTTGCGGTGACGCCATGGATCTTGATGGCTCTGATACCAAATTGTTGGGGTTCTGGGACTGAGAACAGGTCGAGGGACGACTTGGGGTAGCAGGGTACCCGGTTGAGGTGGTAACCTGCCTGCTGGGGTTACTCCTCTTCTTGCCCGTGGCTGGAAGAGCCCAATAAAAGCGCAGGGGAGGGGGGGGGGGGGGGGGGGAAGTCCGTGACTTCTCTCTGGGAATAATTCTTCTAATGATCGATACCTTTATTATGCTGAATAAAGAATATAAATAGGCATCCTGCCTTTACATGATAGAGTTCTAATCTAACAGAAATTGTAACCTCTAATACTTCTATTTCTAATAGGAAGTAATAAATAAAATATAAAATTAACATCAGGATAACTCCCTCTTCTAATTAAACTCTTCTAATTAAACTTCCCGCTGGTTCTGTAGAATGCATCCGTAACAAAAGTTCAATCCAAGCAGCTTGCAGTCAACCATATTCCAGCTCTTCATCAACTTGCTGATGTCCTAACAAAACCTTTATCAGCCTCCTCTTTTCTTGATCTTAGAAGCAAACTTAGTGTGATTGAATTTCCAAATCAATCACCCTAACTTTGAGGGGGGAATGTTAGGAATACTGTACAAGTCCTTATTGTAATAAGTCCAGTCTACATAGCAGATTAATATTGAGCAATCTGTTATGTTTGTTATCAGTTTGTTAAAGTCTTGATGACTATAAAGTCTCTTTCACCTGAATCAATAGTCCGAGCACAAAATGTGGAAAAGACTAATATCCTTAAGTATTAATATCTCTCTTCCATTAAGTTTTGGATATTGGATTTGTAAAAGAATGATTGCGAGTCATATAATAAGGCACACAATTGGTATGAGGCAAACATTGTGGGACATCCAAAGAGAAGAGATGAGACAAACAAAATGG